GGCGGCGGCGGGGACGCGCCCTCCGCCACCGTCGTGCTCCACGACATCGGACAGGACCGCAACCCGTTTATTTAATCGGTGCATTATGCAAATTGACATAACGGCTCCACTTCGGATGCAGTAATCGACCGCCATCTCTCGACAGATTCACAATGGGCCAACATGTACGCTGAATAATTGGCAGTAGCGTATCGTGGGCTGAAAATCAAAGCCGCTGTATGTGCACCCGTCCCCCCCGTCCTACGTTTTCCCCTCTCCCCCTTCTCTTTGCCTCTGGCCACCCCCTGCCCCACACCCGCGAATTCTCGTGTATATCAGGAACCAACGATGGACCCCCGGCGTGTAACGCGCGCACACAAATGCGTAATGGTATGTATGCCGCAGGTACCTATGGCTGTTCTGTTCGGCTCGAAATTGAATGGTGTCCCGGAGGGAGGGCGGCGACAGAGAATCGAAGAACATGAGTCGGAGGGGGAGAGAAATCATACAGCGTGCAGCGAGTAATGAAATTATTTCGTTCGGAATTTTTTATAAAACAAAGAGCGATCGCGCGAAACGCACCGCCGTCATAAAGAAAGAGAAGAATCTCGTAATAAAGAACGTCCCACAACTCATGCGGCGTCGATGCGCGATGCGGACTCGCAAATTTACGGCTTTGATTGTTTTACACAATTCTTGTCAGTTATAGATATATACATATATATATATATATAATATATATATGAAAGTCACCGTGTTATTCGTGCTCTCTGTGTTTTGGCTTTCGGCTTACATTTTTTTTAACTTCTTAAATATAATAATAGATTTTTTCATCCGTCGATTTGTATGCCTTTAAAAATATCGCTCTTGTCTCGCGTTTCTACAACGAGTCAGGGCTTGTTCGCGCGCAGTTAAACTTTTAGAGATTCTGTCACGTTAAAGTTTCATCACCGTCCGCCGTTTTAAACTGGTCAAGGGTTTGCAAGCTGTTCGTTCGCAATCAAATAAAAGGCAAAAAGAAAAAACGATGAGTATCTATATAGGTATAGTCGAAGACGGCGCATGTGATTTTAATGACGAGTTCAGCAGCATCCGTCGATGCGAACGGTATACGTGTCCTTGTCATGGTTTAAACGCCGATTACGCCAAAGTAGGACGATTGTAAAGTTAATAGGGATGTGGAACGTTCGCAGCACAGCGTTACCTTATATCTACTTCAATTGCCGCGGTACGAGCGACATTAAATTTTTACTCGATCGTTAAACCGGATAGATTACGATCGGAGGCATCAAATACGGCTATCTCCTTGTATCGCGCTAGTCATTTGCCGTATCATACGCGGGCGACTCTACACACACTATGTATCGTTGACAGTAAAGCAAATTATGAAAGTGCGCGAACTCCCGGCTTGTACACACAACGCCGCGCTGGGTATAACAAACGCATGGCGTAGCGTTGCTTAAAATATAGTGGCGAAAGTTTGAATTGAAAGTTGATAGTTGTAAACCATTGTATGCCTTTTAATAATAAAGATTAAAAGGTGCGCATTTAAATAGAACGGACGATTGCCGAGAAAATATTTAGAATTTCCCATCGGTAGAGATCTCGGCGGTATAATTTGCAATTAAAACACAACGATAACGTATTATTTATAGCCTCTCGCTTTTCATTTGCAATTTACGTCATCTGTCCGCTATTGTTTTCCATTGTATTACGTGTTTATGAAGTTAATGAAGTTGTTACCATCGTTATTACTATTTTTAATGATTTTTGTCGGGTTAGTTGAGGCAAAATAATTCGTAAATGCGATGTTATGTATCGTTTTATTTCGTAATATTGCCACTACAAATGAGAATCAAGTATCAGCATGTAAAAATTATGATGGACGTATCGCGGTGACACACGCGAGAGTATATTCACTCGCATATGCAACATGTATATGCACATCGAGACATTTATGGAAGCTTTCATTATAAATCACGGATAAAAATGACTTAATCGACTTTAATTAATGAACCTTAATTGTGCAGTTGAAAGACGCCGTCGGCATTGTATATTTATATCGAGCTTCTTCAAGGTAATTACTTCTCAAGCAAGCGCGTTCGTACTCGCCGTGTATTTTAAAATTGATTTTCCGCGAAGTCACACCGGTTGATATATGTACACTTTTAATCGTGTATCCGCTAGTACCTCCAAATTCGAGGTATTCTTTTGAACATGGAAATGACATTTCAAGTTGCACACTAAGAGGAGGTATTTTTCACGATACATTAGCACGAGGTACGGAATATACGAGGTAATAATAAATTTGGCGATAAAATTGGAAGTACTGCTCTTCTGCTGCTTCTGCATTCTGGAGATACTACATCTGAATTCGCGATACTTTTCTTTTGGAGGTATAAGGCTTTGAGTTCGTACTTACCTCGTATTTATAAATACGCAAAATTTTGTACCTCGTATTAGGGGAGAGTTGCCAAATGCGTACTGGTCTCATAAAGCGCACCTCTTCAATATTTTATAGTTCCAGTTTATAGTTAATAGAAGCAACATTTAGTAACAAAAATATGAAGTAAATAAGAAATGTGTAAGATAGACAAATAATGAACAGATTACATCTTGTTTTGTGCATGCTATCAACATTTTAAAAAATCAGATATTGATGTAAATTTTTGATCAATTTATATAGCTGATACTAATGTAACCAATTTTTAATTGAATCGTTATTTTTTCCTAAAAGAAAGTTTATGATAGCATATTTTACATTAATTGTATATACATACCTATTTACAATTATTATAAAAATTATATCAATATTTTTATCATCTCTGTCAAATTTCCTAAATCGTACCTAATCTAACCAGCATAAGAGTTCTTATCGTATCGGTACAATTTAGGAACACTATAATGTATCTTTATCTTTGAATTACATGACATAATCAACTTTATTTATTTTAACACAATCAAAAGTTGTTCTGTAGCAAGTCTGTAGAGGAAAAAACCGTTATCGAGTTGCGTAAGCAAAACAGCTATTGTTTGATAAATTACAATTAAAGTAGGTATTAATTCATGATTCTTTTATCAATCTTGGGTTTTTAATTATTTTCATTCATAAATTCAATAGTTTAGAAGGAGATACTATTAATAAAATTCACAGGTACGATTTAGGCGAAACCGGTCGTGCTTTTGACAACGTGTTACAAAAAAGCTTAGAACAAATTAATTTGCTCTTAGTGAAAGATTTAACATGTAATATTAGATGCCTTGGACATCAAGCTATAATTTCCAACGTTCGTTTGCATTCTAAATAGTACCAAATGTGACATATAACCAAAAATATCTTAAGTGGTACGCATTCGGCAACTCTCCCCTATATACACGAGGTACGAACTCGGAGCCTTGTACCTCCAAAAGAGGTATCGTGAATTTAGATGCCAGTATCTCCCGCAGAATGCAGAAGCAGCAGAAGAGCAGTACCTCCTTTTAGTTCTTTTAGTGTGTATAACTCAAAAGCCAAAAGGTCATTTCTATGTTCAAAAAAATATCTCAAATTGGAGGTACTAGGCGATACATGATTAAGAATGTACACAGCTGCCGTTT